ATGTGTGAGAGAGAGAGTCCACGTGCAGAAAAACGCAGAGGGAGGGTGACTGGCTGCAGGACACGCTGGGGGTAGGAGGGTGTCAAAGTTTGTGTGCTCTCCATACAAACAGATAAAGTCTGAATGGGGCACAGTTGCAAGCCTCCCCGCTGCCCCGTTTCTCCCCATTTTCTCCACGTCCGACTATTTCACCTCCTAACGTCTTTGTTTTTCCTACTTCACCTCATCTTTTTCCTACTTCACCTCATCTTTTTCCTACTTCACCTCATCTTTTTCCTACTTCACCTCATCTTTTTCCTACTTCATCTCATCTTTTTCGCTCCCAGGAATGTTTCAGCATAATACTCCATCTATTATCTGTATTTTTCAAACATTATCCTCATGTTGGGAGTTTCCTTTGTGGTGTCTCTCCTCCTGTTCTTCACTTTACTGCCTCTTCCCCATCTGCCTCCTCTCGCCTCTTTCCCCCTCCTCACTGCAGGACCTCAGTAAAGTGGGGTCAGCCTTTAGCATGTAATGCTGTGTCTTTCCTCTTGTTTCTCCCCTGCTCTTTGACTACTTCATTAATGCTGGCCTCTCCAAACTGGCCGATTGCCTTTCATGTTTTCCCCTGGGTCATGGCCTAGACATGACAGTAGGCCTAACATTTCAAAATAAGGCCTCTCCACCGGGACATGTCAGGTTTTTCACTGAATTTATGTATATTTGTGTCTAACGGGATTAGGACAGAGCAAAAAGAAAAAAAATCTTACAAACATCTGTGCTTGTTATCTTTTTTTTAACCTGATTTAGTGTCACCGAGTGGAGCCATTGTGGATTGTGCCATTCATCAGGAGAGAGAGGTTGAATTTCTTTGAAAAAAAAAAAAGAAAGAAGAGTTTAAACTTAACGGAGGAGGAAAGTTAGAAAACGGGGAAATGTGAAACCTGTCATTGTATGCTGTCTTGGAATAATTGTCACGTATATTTAGCACATTGAGACACAAAGACAGCTGTTGTTGCCAGCTCACTTCTATTTTGGCCCTGCGTCCGTCCCTCCTGTCATTTTAACTGGGCCCATATCTGTAAATAGTCTGTGCCGCTGACAGGCTCTTCACACAGATCACACGCCACACCAAGATCTTATCTTTTAATATTAATAGAAGCCAGACTTTGGGGATCTAATAACCTAAATTAAACTGAACACAGTCTTAGGTTCAGTTATCGAAATTCGCTGCTGGCCCCGGCGCACATCAGGGGTTTAGTTTATCCGGGATCTTGCGTCCAGTAATAATCCTTAGCCTCTAACCTTGCAACCTCTTCACCTTTTAGTAACAGTGGAGCCCCACAATCTCTCCTTCAGTAAGCTTCAAAACCTAAACAAGGGCACTCCTCCACCTTTTAATCTACCTCCACTAAAAACACCCGGTGTTATCTCTGGGAGCTGAACGCCATCATCAGCACCTCTGCAAACCTCTCTCACCATGGCTCTGGGTGGGGGGAGTGTTTAAATTAGGGGAGAAGAAACTACAGTTATAACATGTTTGTAAATGTTTAAAGTTTCTGACAGATGAATGTCTGAAAAATGCATAAATATAATAGATATCACAAAATTGTGTGTGAAAACTATATCTGAACTCTTTTCCCCATAAAGACAACATCTGACAACCTCCCCAGTACCCTAAGTGACATAAATGAGTCACTTAGGGTACCAAAGTGACTCATTTATGTCACCAAAGCTGTGGTTTGACAACCATTAGAATAGTTTCCGAAGGTAGCTACACAGAGACCACCCTTAATGAAGTCTGATGTACACCCAGACAATTTCTTCTATAAGGAGGCCTGAAATGTGACAGAAACTGCTCAGTTCAGAGAAGAGCTTCAAGGGTTACTCCCACAAACATTCATGGAGTAAAGAGTTTAAAGGAAGCCAGGTCTAATTTAAACATTACTTGTTTTGTTTTACCAGGAGGGAGCTGGTCCCTATAAGTTCTTCTTAGTGCTGAGATTTTAGTTAGAAGTGGAGCTCACAGTTCAAAACACCTAAAAGACATGTAAAGGAGACTTGAAGCCAATCACCTCTCAGCTTTTGGCCTCAATCTACCACCTTTACTGTGCAGACATCCATGCAAGAAGAAGGATGAAGATAAGGGTTGTTTGTCTCTATAGGGTGGAGGGGTGAAGGAGGAGGAGAGGAAGAACTTGGAGGGCTGTCAGGGTTCCACGAAGGATCTGATCAGGCTGCTTGAGGGGGGTCAAGGGAGCCTTTCCTAACAAAACAGATCAGATGACTTGGCATTTGGTCCTGAAGTTGTCCATTCATCTATCTGTCAGTCTTTCTGTCTGTTGGGTTATGTGGGTCTGCCAACCATCAGTCATCATTCACTCAGTCTCCCACACACTGACCTGGCCCCCTCAGTCCAGTATCCTGCCTCTGGCACAGTTGCTGGACTCGGCTGTGGTTGATGTTGAAGTTGGAGCTGAATTGAGTTAGCCAAACTGTTTTTGGATCCTCGTGACATGAAACAAAAGGGCCCCCGAGGAGAACATTGAACCTGGTTCCAGAGAGCAAACAAATATGTTTCGACGCAGGGGCCCACATGCACAGGTATATGGATATGTACACAAAGGCAGGGCTTACGTGCCAATAAAAACAGATACACATACACGCAAAGCCATGCTGCCATATGTGCGTTTGATGGAAACACACGTAGATTTTGGATACGATCCAACAAACCCTTGAGGGATTTTCAGCTCCACTCGACTCCAGGACACACTCAAAAACGCAGTGACAAAACAAAGAAGCATTAACCATCAAGCAGGAGCCATAGAAAGAAGCAGGAGAACGCCGTCTCTCCCAATCCCAGTTTTCCTATTTTTCCCTTGAGGGACATGAAGTGAAACTATCATTTGTTCCCTCTCCCCTCATCTCAGCCATAGTTTGTCCCTCAATCTCCTCTTCAGCTAATTCTGATATTTTATATGCTTCAATTCACAAAAAAATCCTTCATGCTGGAGACCCACACGATGCCCTTCTCTCCTCCTGGTTGTGATTCTACGTGTGGTATTGGGCGCTTTAGTCTTGTGTACTGCGGTGTCACTTTTGTGCTTTGTGGTATGGTGTTGCGGTAACACCGAAGGGACATTGGGCAGACAGGCTGAGCAGGGTTCGTCTTCAAAGTGAATTTTTAAAAAGTCTTCATTGTTTTTCATTCACATCTCTTACACACGCTGACATAAACGGACATATGTGCACACTTAAGGTAGGCTGATGGTCCTGTCTCCAATTAGGTGCTTTTTTTGGTGGGGGGGTGTCTGCAAGTGCAGCCCATGTGTGCATAGTATGTCTCTACCTCTGCCTATGGAGGCATGCTCACACACTGCAGACAGCTCCAGGGAAAGCTTCAGTAACTCGCACCCTCAACAAAAGAACCTGCAGCTGGCTGTCCCTGTCAACAGCAGGGCCTCCTCAATTGAGTAAGAATGGGAGACGTCTAGAATATCATTTTAAATGTCTGGAACATAAGACATGACGACTATGGTGTATTGCTGTCAGAAGAGTGCAAAGGCAACCAAAACCCATGAATTGTGTTGTCTTAATGATAATGGGACCATAAGTAATGTGCTATCTTAGCTGTGTGGACCGGACTACAATTATTCAGTAACTGTCAGATCACCTGCTGGATCCTAATGACTTTGGTGATCTTCCAGTTTTCTTCATGCCACCGGGAAGTTTGTGGCTTTGAGTAAAACGTCTCAACAACTATTGGATGTCTTTTCACAAAATTTGGTGCAGCTGTTTTGTCTGTGTAGTGCAAATTTGCAGATGTTAGCACACTATTACACCAAACTAAGTTAGTGATAATGGTAAACATACAGACCGAACACAATTTGTAGCTCATGGGTAAATTTTGCTTGAAGAAGGTGCCTCCTGTGGGAATGCACTATAACAGGCTGAAGAACTAAAGTCTTCATAAGCTGCCAAACACAAACAGCGGTTTGGCAACAATAATACACACAGCATGAGCACAGTTCAATTCAGTTTTATTTTTATAGTGCCAAATCACAACAACAATCACCTCAAGGTGTTTTGTATTGTATGCTAAAGACCCTACAATAACACAGAGAAACCCCAACAATCACATGACTGCCTTTGAGCAAACATCTAGTGACAGCAGGAAGGAGAAACTCCCTTTAAACAGGAAGAAAGCGGCAGAACCAGGCTCAGGGAGGGGAAGCCATGTGCCACGACCAGTTGGGGGTGAGGGGAGAGAGACAGGGCAAATATACGCTGTGGATGAGCGCCAGAGATTTATAATAACTAATGATTAAAAGTCCTGTAGAAACACGTGTGTCATGGGAATGCCCCATGAACTAGGCATATTGCAGTGTGACTAAGGGAGGATTCAGGGTCACGTGATCCTGCCCTAACTATAAGATTTATCAATAAGGAAAGAAATGTGACACAAGGACCCCTGTGTTCACTGTGCTTACATGTGCAACAGGAAGTCAGATATCCAGAAGTCATTGTCAGGTTATCGTATTTCCGAGATGAGAGAAATCTAAAATAATCTGATGTGTTAAATCTGTTGGTTTTTCAGTGTTTCAGGCCTTAGTTTCACATAGTTTACATCCCAGCATGTAAAATTATGGACTTGATGTTTTCATTTTGCAGTATACCACCATTTTTTTTTAAAAATCTTCGATAGTTAATAAAAAAAAAAAACCCAATCGCTTTTGGTTTTCAGTATCTGCTGTAATTAACATAACTGAACATCATGTCTCTACAAAAATCTTCCTGCTCTGACCACATTCTCATGCTTTTAACAGCTTTTTTTCATGCTTTTATATCGAGGGTTAAACCGATCTCGAGCCTAAACCCACTTTAAGAGTCAGTCCTCCTTCAGCCTCGGTTTTTGTTGGTTTTTCAAACCCTTTGCTTGACTGGCTTAGGCAGAGTGAGATTTAGCCAAACCACCGCTGTCAGATTCAATCCACAGGATCTCAGTTGTCATTTGATTGCTGCTTTGGATTTTTTTTCTTTCCTTTTTGGTCATGATTCAGTCAAGATGTTTCCACTGCAGAGGACTTTAACTGTATAATGTTGTAATGATTTTGCCAGCACATTAACTTGACTCCGCACACACCTGCAACCAGATGGGGAGAGGTGGGATTCTCATTGGCTGTATTAAGGGGTTGTTTTGTAACTGATCTCCTGCCTGTTCGCTTTGTTGTTTTATGCTTTACGTTGCCAATCTCTCCTTTGTTCTGTTTCGCCTCTACTCTCATCTCCTCTCTGCTGCTCGGCTGTCCTCTAAGTGGGAATACAGATGTCAAAGCCATTTGCTGCATTGCCTGTGTTGGTGACAGGGGTGTAAAAGGGGGGGACAGTAAAAGTCAAAGACCGCTGTTGAACATGATCCTCAATGTGCCGTTAACCATAATCTGACCTGATTTGATCTTTCCTTCCACTCCTCCTTCCAGCTTTCCTCTCTCTTTACTGCTTCCTCGCCTTTTCTCCATCATTCCCCCGACTCGTCCCGTCTGCCACTCTCTTACTCAGTCCGTCTGCAGATAGAAAGATAATATTCAAAAATGTCTGTGGTTGCTTAATACGGTTGAAAAGGCAAATAATGACAGGTTATGGTCATCTGTAAAAAGAGATGTTTTTGATATTTCTGGCAGTACAGAATGAAATTGTGCCGTTCTTTGCAGAAAAACCACAACCAGTAGATGCCCCAGGCGAGTTTAAACCAAATACTGAAGATGATTTGATTTTCACTTTAATCCACATTTACTATTTAGAGAGCGGGGCTTGTTCTTTTCCATTCACTTACTCCATCCTCTGACCCCAACAGACCTTAGTGTCTTAGCAAGCATCTCTTTTTTCCACTCATTTCCTCTACGACTATCATTCTATTGCCCCCCAGGGTATTTTGTGTCCACACATCCCTTGAACGTGGTCTCTCTTTCGCCTCTTATAACCCACATGTGTCACCAGACACTCTGGTGTTATCCTATTAGCACACTAAGTAGCCCTCTCGAAATTCCTCTGATAGTTTTTAATGAAGCCACTTGCTCTGGGCATCAGAGCAGCAGTTTTAAATTTAGGCTTTCAGTAACCATGTGTCTTACTACTGTCAGACGGCAGGCAGGAGCATGATGTACAGCTGGTGTAAAGTTAGCACCCTGATGATCCAATCCAGACATGGAGATGAGAAGGAGATCATCACCAGAGATGGCTGGTAATAGATGCATCAGTGGGATGTATGGATAAACAAAGGTCTGAAATGAAGGCAGCTTGTCCAGAGACTGAGGAGGCCAATCATGAGAGGAATCGGGTGGTCGTGACCCTCGACAGGTGTGGGGAGTGGATGGCATTGTTGAAGCATTCATAAAGGACCTAAAAAAGACAGGAGATATAGGAAGGAGATGCCCCACTGAGGGGGAAGCTCACACATCAACAGTTCATCAACACTTAAAGCCTAAGAGGCTTATGAAGACATTTTTCACATTTATTTCCCTTCTTCTCTCATCCTGCCAACACATCATTCAGCAAATCTTGTATATCCAATGTTTTCTCAGTCTGTATATGCTATATTTGAGTTATGCTAATGAGAACTTGCCCTGCCAGAAGAAGAAGAAAAATATACTTCATAGCTGAGCACTTTCCAAACAGTCTGAGACTCCTGCTGCTTGTGGGGCTGTTTTGTACCGAATAAACGGATAGACAGTCACTGCTCGAATGACACCAAAGTTCGTAACTAATAATAAAAAAATTAGAGCTCAAAAAAGTTGTTTAAAATAATCTTAGGATCAGTTCGGAACTCTGCTGGGAATTTTTTGAAAGAAAAATGGCGAACATTACTTCTGCTTGTTTTTTGCTTTGTGAAATTCTTTACCTGAACTTCTTTCATAGACAAAGCATTTTATATTAAAAAATTATAATTATTGATTAGTTGAAGCAGTAACTGTGAAAAGTCATTAAGCAGGTTTTTAAATTAGATATAAAAACTGAGGTATTACTACATCAACCTGCTGAAATGGTACTTTTTAGGATCTGTTTCACACTCTTCTCCTTCCACCATGACAGTTCTGTGTAGAAATGAACAAACATCTGGCTTTTCATTGTTGATTTTCATAAATAGGTCAGCAAATAGGACCAAAACCTAGTCCTGTTGTAGAGTACGATTGTTATTGCTACAGTATCTTCTGTTTGCGTGCAGCTAATTCAAATGAATGAACTGGGCAAAGAGAAACAAGGCCCATCCACATGGTGGTAACCCTTTGAAGGAAGCATCAGGCTGTGGTGAATGTGGGGCCGTAGGTGTTGGAGGGGTCTGCAAAGAGAGGATCTGGCAAGTCTTCACTGATGCCAGGCACCAATGGGAATGTTGGGAATGCTGGGTGTCCTTCACAGTGACCCATGTGTGTGCGTGTGTGCAAGAGAGATAAGTGGGAAATGTGGGGGAATAAGCGAGTGTCCTTGAAGAGTGTATAAGGTGCACTGTATAAACACCAGCAATACTCCAGTTGGGCTAAATGCACTAATAGATTTTCCGTGCCGTGCAGTCGCAAAGAGCCTCATCATACCGAGCTTGTAGGGCATCTAGCCTCCTGTGTTTGGGGTTTAAGGCAGAACTAATTCAAGTTTTCATTAAAATTCTCACTCTATATTTGTCTGTCTGTGAACCGCTAATTAGAAAATATCTCAGGGAATCATGATCGGCCTGGACGCCAAATTTGGGCTATGAAATTGAGAGCAGATGTTTATAGTCTAATTAAGTCAAATATTTATTTCTTTGACATTTTGGTCTCTTTTGTTGTGTTGTGCTAACCCCTTATAGTCGAGCAGTCAGCAAAAAAAAGTTCAAAGCAGTTACAGAGTGGAAAAATAGACAGCTACAATCTTCTCAGGGCATTTAAAGGAGCTGTGTTATGGTAATTTGTCTCTGTGATACCCCTATGCATGGTAAATCCAGGTTTTGTGTTTAGCATCCATCACGTTCTTATCAGACCTGTTGGGGTGTACCGCTTCCTGATTGATTGGTTGCTCGTGCTAAGTGGAAGCTGCAGAGTTTTTTGGGTTTTTTCTTTTTTTGTACGGACAACCCGAAAAAAGACAAAGAAAACAGCCAGCAAAGGAGTAAATGTGGCACAGAGATCGCTTTCAGGAGCATTAAAGCTCTGGAGTGTCTTGCACCAGAGGAGTGAAGGCCATGTTTAGAAAAGTGTGGAATGCTTTGGCCCGTTATTGTCCCGCTGGTCTGGTGATGGCGGTGTCAGGTTAACTGTGAGCCTGAGTTGCTCGCATTCCCATCGTCCCCTCCCTAAAAACACCCAGCCATCCCAGCCCAGCTCTGGGACTGGATCCTCAACTCATCTGCTGTCATTGTCTCACAGGCTTCTCGTTCATCATATAGAGACAGGTATGCTAAGCCTTCTGCCCACATTAACATTCATCGGATGTCAGTGGGTGTAAGGTGGGAAGGACAGAGTCACCTTTTCCAAGTCGTCTTCTTCTTCTTCAGACAAATGGATAAACATTCAGGCTGACAGCCAGACAGATAACAAACTCTGGCTTATCAAGGACCCGTGAAACAAAGCCACTGGAAGGAACTCTGCATATTTTAGGCTCACCATAGTCCTCATATACAAAAGCACATTTGTATGTGACCATAACCTTAAACATGCACACACACACACAGTCGCACAAGCTATTCTTGTCTGAACCACTCATCTGAAAAAGTGCCGAGCTGGTTATGTTACACTGGGACGGGCTGTGGAGGATTTGAAGGTCAGATGTTGAAGCAGGATAACCTCTCAGGCAGTTTAATGTCACTGTCATTGTTGTTGGCTCGGTACCGTGCTGCTGACTGCACGACTTCTAATAAAGTTAAACTTGCCCATTATGGGAATAATTGTTCTGCTTAGGCGGAATGTGGGCTCAGTCTGTGTGTGGCCGGGCATCGCCTCCCTCCAATGTAGCTCTAAATGCTTCACTTCCCTCGGGGAGGTTTGTGTTGCTCTGCTTCTTTTTGCCTTCGCACACACAAACACACACACACACACACACACACACACACGTTGAGCCTCGAGGCTGGTTCCATTGGACAGTTCACAGATCAGATTCACTGACATTTTAAAACGGGGACAACAATGTGAAATCTCAAACAGTCAGATGTGAATTTCAAAGACGGGATGCAAATGAACTGGGACGGTGGTGGAACAGCAGAGGATGAATGCAGATTAACTTTGTCATTCAAATTGATGGTTAGATATCAAAAACTCGGTTCTTCAAATAACCTCAGTGCTGACAGGACTTTGCTGTCATTGTTTAGAAGGAGAGCCAGTGGAAAAATCACTGAAATGCCACTCAGTGTGGTTTGTAGTCCCAAATTTTATGAAGTCCCGCATCAACAATTCCCTTTTTTCCAAACTCCATTTAAAACCTCAGGAATCTTCCCCACTGTGTCACCCACTGTGACAGAATATTCTCAATGAGAAAATAAACCATGAGGATGTTTTTTAAAAAAAATTCTGATTCTGCAAAAAGCCGCTGTAGTCCACTGGATACAGAGAGTGGAGGGATATGAGGGGTTTCTGAAGTTTTACATTAAAAAAGCATTCTGTTAGATATTCTGTGTTTCTTTTTTTTATACCAAATCATGACTGATTTAGATCTGGATATAAGTATTGTCTGTGAGCCAAATCAAATTGCGCTTGTCCATCTCCAAACCAACAATCAGATTATGCTAATGAAAAAAATAGTGCCAGCATGAAAATATAGAAAACTGCAGTTCCTTGAATGGCCACTTGAGACCCAAATGTAAGTCAGTCCCCGTAGACCCCATGTTGAAAGGTTTACAGTGTTTTTAAAAAAAATCTATGAAGTTCTTTTTATTTTTCACACTGTGGAACTTTAGGTTTGGAGCAGCACAGTTTTGAGGTGGCTAGCACTGTTTCCTCACAGCCCTGTCACAGCTGGGATAAGCTGATAGTGAAGAAATGATGCTCCAGTAAGTGAAAGAAATCTGTCAGTACGAGTATTTGGGCTGAAATAAGTGTTACATTATAAAAGTAAAAGGTACTGTAACTATAAAAACATTTATGATTTGATTTTGTTTTTTTTTTTTTACTGCGGATCCAACTAAAAATGAGGAAGATATTTCTATTATTGTGAAATATTTGGGAAAAAACAGTAGATTTGTCGTTTAAATGTCTTTTATTACTAATTTATTGCTAATTCAGGCCTGTTGGCCTTACACACCTGCCCTAGTACAAACAGTTTAAAGTTTACTTGCTCAAACTATACTACCAAAAAGTTGAAGAAAATGACTTTCCAGATTGAAACGAAGTATTTGTGTTTTTTAGAGATTTACATCTCCGGTAGAAATGCTAGAATTCCCCAGCTAGCATAGTCAGGCAAGGGAATATAAACAAGAGACACCTGCAATTTCTGTCTAGAAATATCATGGAATATACTGGCATTGCGTAAGGTATGCAATTTGTCAGGCTTGTCTTTTCCTTGTTTTGTTTTTTTCATACGACTGACAGGATACTGATCAATGATCGGACCACAAAACAAAAGTTTTCGAAGGAAATCCCAAATCATTGGCACGTTGCAGTAAATTGTACAGAGTGTGTTGGGCGTGCAGTCGCTCGCTGATCCCTATCGCTGTGATTAGAACTGTCATTAGTTCCAGCTCTTCCAGCTCCAGCAGAGCCTAAAAAAACACATTTATCTGTGGACACGTAAACTATAAGAATGCACACGGACACGAACAGAGTCCTTTTTGTGTGACTCTGGAGGACATTGCACTCACTTCCTGGCTTGACCCAACCCTCACTGTAACCTTAAGCCAGATCTTCACCCTGAATTATAAGGATTTATAGTATTG